TTCGTTCGCTTGGTTTTCTTCGTACAGAAAAGGAAGGAAAACGAAGAAATTTCTGCTCGTCCAATTCCAAGTGAGCTGGTTTACACGCTAGAAGACACTGAAGTTTGTCAGTTTGTTCGCTGTTACTGAGAATCGTCGATAAGGTTTCTCCGTGGATAAACAAATTATAAAGGACATTCGTTGTCTTCTTACGTACCATCTGGATAAATTACAATTTTCTTCGTTAACAATATTCTACGTTATTTTCTACGCCATGCAAGTATTCTTAGATAACGGAAATTTGACAGAATTACGCAACGACGAATATGCAACGAAGATACAGTTTTTCTGGATAAAAGCTAGAAATATTCTATCGAAAAATATTCTCTGTTTTTTTTTTTAGGTACTTCGACGAGATTACACTCTGAAATGAAATGTTTCTTCGACAAACCGCCTCTTTGTATCAGCAACAGCGAACGTCTACGAACGAATGATAGCGCAACTATGTAAAAGGATGGAACGAATCTCTTGGAAGCACAACGATGAGTCACGAGAAGGTTGAAATGAAATACAAGGTCTCTAGGTGAAATTCTCGTGTCTCATCGCGTTTCAGTTCACTTCGTTTCCGCTTCCAAGCTTTTCGTTGTTCGTTCTATACGAAAAAACATACGTGTATTTCCGTGTATATGAGTGTACAATCTATGGTTATCTTGCTTCTGTTCCGAGATGAACGTTCAAAAATGGTGAAAAGGTTTTCGAACGTCCATCCGAGGTCGAGGAACGAAAAGGCAAGAGGCGAAGTATATTACGTTAGAATATATTAAGTAACTTTCTGGCCGTCTTAGTTATCGACGAGTGCGATGCTCGCTGATTGTTTGGAAAGCGGACGTGGGAAAATTCATCGAGTTAGACGAACGATAACGTTTCCTCTTCACGATATTTCCCGCCTCCGTGTGCTGCGTCAAACTGCAAGAAACGGTAGTCAGTTTGTAAAAAATAACCGACTATACTCGATCATTCATTCGTTATTCGTTAGCAAAAATACAATTCTCTTTCCTTTTTTTTCGTCTTTTTTTTCCGTCAATAACACTTTTGTCGAGCTGGAAGAGTATTTACGCGTGATTCCTGCAGGAAGAAGACGAAGATCGTTTAGCAGAAGATGAGCCAGGCTGGTCCCCCTTCGGATAGAAAGACGCAGAATTCAAAAATTCCGCTTGTGAGATATCTTCGAGAAACCGTCTTGAAGAGCGAAGCGTAGCGAGTATCGAGATTTACCAGCGAAGGAAGGAGTTAATAATCAAGGAGTTGCCAGTCAAGAAAGGTCCAGTTTTGATAGTTGTATAATAAGTTCTTTAGTTGACACACCACAGTGCAAGTTTCAAACAAATCTCGAAAGTTGTCATTGACAATCACGAACACTAACATACAGGTAAGTGCTTGGGAACGTGTTTGAAAAATTCATGATAAACGGAAAATTAGTCTACTTCGTCAGGAATCATTGGTAGCGTCGTTTTCACTTTGCAAATTCGAAAAACGAGTGTCGTAATTTATTCATCAGTGGAAATTGCTGTACAATGACGATACAGAGAAGTTCTGTCAACCCTGAATTCTTCACAAATCTTACCACTGTTAAATTCAATTTTGCCAATGTCGAACTTCGACACCGATCGATTAAAAAATATACATAAAAAAAAACTTGTTACACTCGAACAATTTCAGCTGTACAAAATCCCATACGTTGAATTGTTCGTTATCGAGGATACACCCATCGTCGATTTCTCTAAAACTACGAAAAAACCAAGGAACCGTTCTTCGTGACAAAAATTCTCTATTTCCAACGATTTTCTTGTTTTTGCCAATTATTTCCAACCCCCGATAAAATGCTACTCGTTTCTCACAATCGAACGCAGACCTCTCCACGGCGGAGTACACATCCGACTCGAACGGATCACGTTCGACGGAGATGCGTTTCTCGCTCAAATTTACAATATCTCTCTCACGCACAGCTCCATTCTACATACACACATTTTCTCTGTTCCTCTGTTGCGCGCGCGCGTTCGTTGCGAAGCCTATACAGTTACACACCAGTAACCTCTATTTTTATAAATCTGCTTTTCTAACCGCCTCTCGTACCTCGTATAGAATATGACTTTCTTTTTTTCAATTTTTCCCCTTTGAAAAATCATTTTCTCATTTTTTTCTCTCTTTTATTATAATATATATGTATATATATACACGCTAGTTAATCGGCTGCGAACACACACAGAAGGAAATAAAAAAAAGAAAAGGCTCGTGCGCGTACACTTGCACCGAAAACTTCTAATCAGAGGCTGCACGTAGATCTATCTCCCTGTTGGGACACACGCTCGATTGGCAGAAAATCTTCCGCGACGAGCACTCGATAGAGAAAGACGCTATCGAACGCGAGAATCGATGCAACGGTGACTAAGGATTCGAAGGGTAACCCTCTGGTGAATAATTTTTTTAACAGACGTGTTGTTTTCGTTTTTCTAGGTAGTTCTTCCTGGTGCTTGAATATTGTTCTTCATTTTTTTAAACGTAGAAAAATTTGTTGGGTTCTCTTCTTTTTTTTTTCTGAATAAGTCTTTTTTCTTCTAATTTTTCTGAGTAAATTTCGAGGTTTCGGGGATTATTGTTGTACAGGCACCGTAAGTTTATGAACGATTGATCTTTCATGAGAGTGTTTTTGATCGGTGAAAGAATTGACTTTAAGAATTCTTTAAAGAATCTGATAATTGATACTGCTTAAGGCCTCTGATTATTTTTATCTTCCGAATGATACTTCGATGTTTCCTTAATATTGCGGCTATATTATAAATTTAATGCATCTGTGTATCTATGATATTTCCATAAAACTATTTACAATATCAACGACGCATCGAAATATTGTTACAGTAAAAAGGAAGCCTTAAAATACGTGAAATTTCTCATAAAAACGTTTGGTATCGGTACTACGAAGTGTAGGAAATATACAAAATGTGTAAAATAAGCTAAATCAATTTTCTCATTGATCTTACTTGGAACTTATATGAATTCGATCATCCATGTTGATATCTGCTACTTTCTCAACTACTAAATCTTCTCTTATGTTTTTTTCGTGCGTCTATCTTTTTTCCATATTGCGTCCATAAAGATTCGAAATACGATTTCCATAGAAATGTTTCGGACGGAAAGTTTCTGGAAACTTTAACCCGACGAGAGTTACATGAAAGCACGCGCGATTCACTTTGAAATTCAGCCAAACGACCAAACGCGATTTAGAAACAAAGGATATAAAAGGAAGTTTTAAACGTAATCCGTTTATGCGCTGTTTTTTCCTCGATATGAGGTCAAGAACAGACCAAACTCCAAAAGAAATGCGTTCTGAATGACCTGAAGTCAACGATTGGTCATTTTAATCAGAGAAACACTAATCAATTTGAGTTTGTGAGGAAACAGTCCTTGGAGAAGTTTTTCAGCTCTCTATAGGAAAAGGTCCTCGCAAAAACAATTGATATATACGATTTTCTCAGAAAATTTTCCAAATTTTACTATAGATATCGAACTACTTTATTCCAAGTAGCAAACTTCAAACGTCTGAACGACGAAGGATTATTCTCAAGCACAAATGGGTTTACCAGTTACACAATACAAAATGCAATAACCAATATCACTCTTCTTTTTTTCTTTTATTCCACATCATCAAGAACAGAGGGTTACCCTTCATACTTAAAAGCTTCTAAACGAGTCAGATCTCTATAAACAATTCCATCTAGCAGTGATCTCTATAGAAAACACGTAGTTTGATTTATATTTAAAACAACGAACAATAAAAACGAAATAAAATATAGTCACATGATAAAACTAGCACACGATTGATAGAACGAATTTCCATTGGTGCTGCTTTTTCTCTGCATCGAGATATAATCGAGGCGAGGTTGTTGTTTATTAAAAAGGTAGAAAAAGATAGAAAAACCCGCGAAGAAGAAGGTGTTGTCGCCTCGGTGAAGTCTCAAAAAGTGGGTGAAATCGACAGCGATCGATCGATCAAGAATGAAAAAAAGAAAAAAAAAACATTTACGAGTTCACTTGATCGATCTTCCTGGAGGACTGTTTTCTTTTTTCCCCATTTGAAATACGTACTAAAATTATTACCTATCTCGACCTAATGATTTCCAGAAGAACGCGATTCCCTAAAACCAATTTGGGTAGACAGAGGCGAATCGGATCGAAATTCAGTCCGTTTTTGTTATATCGCCGTTGAGACGAGCATTTCGATTGTTCATATGACGCCATCCCTCTCTCTCACACCTAATTTAATAACTCATTAATTGTTTTAAGTCGTAATCTGTAATATCCTATTTAAAAAAAAAGGTAAGCTTGAAAATTCAAATGTGTTTATTATTATTAGATTGCATGATATTCATATTTAATGTTTGATGTATTTCTGATTATTATATCATAAGTTGTCTTTCACTTAAATATTTTATGAAATTCCCTTAAATATTTTGACGATTACAAATATGATAAGAGTGGCATTGTATTTACTGTAATGAAAAATTTATCCATCCACCTTCAGAAGATTGGACGCAGTGTAATGTCTGTGAAGAGTAGTGTTACGAGAATTGTGCTGTTAGAGATGGTGTGAAAGGGCAATATAGTTGACCTCACTGAATTGAATTTTGTTTAAGTTAATTTAAAGATTTTTTTTTATGAAAATTTGTGTTCTTTTCAGAGATTTTCCGGTTATACGGGTATTACTTACGAATTTATAATAAAAAATTAACTTTCTAAATTTTGACTATTATTCTTTTATACTGTCAAACAGAGAATGATTCGATTCGCCTCGGTTTACCCTCTATTAATCGTTACGCGATAAGAGAATTTTACAGTTTCCTTTTTTTTCATTTTCTTTTTTTTTTGTGTCGGACGTCGACGTGTCACGTTTTCAAAAAAAAAAGCTCGAACGGAAGGAAGAAGGAAAAGGGAAACACCGGTTAAACTGTAATCGACTGTATCGCCGTAATCACCAGTAAATCCGACTGGGACGTTCGGTTATAATTCTTTTCGAATGGCTTTGGCTGGCTGGACCGTTTTTATATCGCATGCGAAAAAAGAAATGGGCAAAGCACTCAGGCAAACGGTTAAATTTTCACTCTATTCCTTCCTCTCTTTCTCTCATTCTCTCACTTTCTCTCTATTCAAACGTCTCTCTCTCTCTCTCTCTCTCTCTCTCTATTTGTTCCATTCGTACGTTTTTTACTTTCTCTCGTCCTGTCACTCCCTCCATTCTCTCTCTGTCGCACGATCTATTATATACTTTTTTCACATGTACGCTCTTTTTTCGCTATTTACAAACGTACTCTGTGTATGTGACGTGTCGGTGTGTGTATCTCTTCGCTTAAATAATGTTCGTTATCATCATCACGCTTCCCGTCCCCTATTATCTTTCGTTTCTTTCTCTCTCTCTCTCTCCTTCTCTCCTTTACCTAAAATAATTAATATTTTTAATTGTATTAACCGCGACGAGAACGTGGCATTCAGGCTAAGTGTCTCCACGTTCGTCGCGCAACCGCCTCCTTCCTCCTCTCTCTCCTGTCTCTTCATTTTTCCTATTTTCATTGTTCTTCGATATACTTGTCTACAGTTTCACAGAATAATGTGTTCTCTCTCTCATTTGTATCTTTTTGTTTTCTATTTTTTTTTGCTCTTTTCTTAAATCCTGAAACGTTCACTGCCCCCCCCCCCCCCCGTTTTTTCCTTTCCCTCCCCCCCCCCCCCACCGTTTTATTGTGTACACTGTCGAATATTCTTGTGGTTATCTCTTGCGTGTCCCCCGTAGCCAAGTTATCCCCGATTGTTCTTCGTTCCGTGTTCACGTCGCTCTTCTCGCTTTCTTCGAATACAGCGGAGGGACTCCGTTACTTCGAGCTGTTAGAACAGTCTCGCTGCGTCGTTTCTTCGAGGTGTGAAGGGTTTCCTTGAATTATAAAGAGGGAGCTGGCCGGTACAGAGGGTTGCCCCTAATGGGAAGCACGTGCGCCTCAGAGTTGAACACCCATTCGTCCAGGTTTATGAGATCATCGTCGCTGAACAGCAGATAGAGGTACTGCAAAAGACAAAACAACCGATTCACCAGTTTGTCCCTAACAACTTCCTAATTTTTTAATTCTTTTCTACTTTCATTCTCCATTTTATCTCTTAATCTAGTTAGTCGTTTCCGTAGTAAAGAAAAAGGAAACGATTATTAATTTCAGAACTCGGTAACAAGAGAAATCCTGCAGTAGTATAACACAATATTTATCAGCCTTCTTCTTATTATTATTTACACTATCTAATTATTTCTCATTTTATTTTCTAATATAGTTATTCATTTCCTTAATAGAAAGAAGGAAATAATTATTAACTTCAAAATTGGATAACAGGAGAAGCATCACATTTGTAAGATTCCTCTGTAGTAGTATAACGCAGCATTTATCAGCCACCAATATCCTCAATTCTATGCAACACGCGATTCTCTCCGTAGTTTAACAATATCGAGCGCTACTTAACGATATTCCACGTACATACCACGATTAAGCAAGTTGTATAATTAACAGGGTTCGACATCGTAGCAATGAAGACTATAATAGCACTCAGAAGCTTCCCTTTGAGACGCAATCAAGAAATACGATTTACCGCAAATATTAATCTCGTTCGTGTATCCACCCTGGTAATACCTATTCACTGATAGAAAAGTGAAATCAACGAGCATGTTGAATGGTACAATATTTACGCTTAAACTGCAGTAGCAAACTCTTCGTCACTGGAATTTACAACAACCTTACAAATTTTCAAATACCTTCTCTCCCGCAAATATGACGGGGTAATGAGATTCTTGAAAGAGACCGCGGAATTCGGGTTGTAATCAACCGCGTTCGTTAATAAACTGATTAACTTCTTAACGGAGCCGCCATTATGGTCGATAATGGTCGAGTTCGCGTTCCACTTTGTGTGCTTCTCTCTGATCGTTTAATCGTCTTTCTTGTTGCAACGTTAAGAAGAAACGTTCTGACTCTGCTCTGCTCTCTCTCTGCCTTAACCGGAAGTTAACGATGCGGCCACGCGTTCGAGGATAATGTAAGTTTAAACGCGTTGCGAACACGACCACGCGGCAAAGTTGAATGAAAATTTGTGGCCAAAGGTGTAAGCGGTACAACGACGGAGAAGATGTTCGTTAACGTTTGGTAAAATAGAGGAAGATATTCGTAGGATATTGTGTCGCTTCAACGAGTTCATGGAGTCGTTTAGTTAATTTTCTCGGGTGATTTATCGTGGCGTTTGGTCCTTTCTCAAAGGTTGAAATTTGGTCCTTTTCAATTTTATCATCTATTTTTACTAATGTTAAATTTTGTTCCTAAAATTTCCTTCTTTTTTTACAATAATTTCTAATAATCTCCTCATTTCTCGATCTCAGTTTTAATAAAGATTTCTGTATCATCGATACTTGTAACGCAAGAGAAAATAAATAGTAATTTTCACGAAGTGCAAAATAAACTTTTAAAACAAGTTTTACAAGACAAAAGTTACACAAGAAAAATTAATCGTGTTTCGATAGAACCGTTGACGATAAAAGTCAGACAGTTTGCATAAAAAATTCCAGGACGATTCGAGGGAATCTCGATGGAGTTGTTCGTACCTTGAGAGTTTCGGCGAAGAAGTAGCTCTGTTGGACGTCGTCCTGTGGAGGATCAACCAGGTAAACATTGTGAAGTCCAGTGAAGCCTCCCGGAACGCGACAGTATTTCTCGAGAGCTTGAACGGCCTCCCAGCCCCACTCACGGTATTTCGGGTCCTTTGTCAGTCGCCACATCACGAAGTACGATTCGAAGGTCTGAAAGGAAAATATTTTATCTCGGAATTTGGCCAGTAGCCCTGTGTTTGCCCCGACGCGGAGGACGACGTGAAAAAGGGCAGATTGAATATTTCAGCTTTCATTACCGGTCGAGAAAACATCCGGAAATAAACGTTGAAACGTTCCTATCTCTTCGTTTGTTTCCAGTTTCGTTCAGAGACGTTTCAAATTGTCGCGAAACGGTTTATCAAGAGTGAGACGTTAATATGCGTTATTTTTACTTTCTGGTACCATTCGCTAAGTGAATTAGGAGGGCAAGAATTTGTTCATCTTTCAGATTATTAATATTTATTGTGTTTCAGAGAAACAAATTTTTCAAATGTGATGATTTGTGAATGATTGAGTTTGTAGTTCAATTCAGAAACTTTGCTAGTTTATTAATATTTCAGTATTTCGAGGTCTTTGAAATGTTATTTTATTAACATTTGTGTTGCTCCTGTATTTTTTAAGTTTCTATGATTGAATGAAATTCACCTCTGGTCGAAGGATGTAGTATTTCTCTCCGTTCTTTAAGCTCTTCGCTTCGTTACCCTCGATGAAGTGGAAAGCTTCCGGACCGAGCTTCGTGAAGCTTCGATCGTAAGATTCATGGCACGTGTTGGTGAGACCAGCGGCTATTGTCATGTATCTTTCAGACAATTCGTTTTGCAGAGTTTTCGCGCCCAATGCGAACATACCACCTAAAAACAAGCAAAACTCAAACAATTCTCTCGTGCAATATCTCATCCAAACGTTCATTTTTAATGCAATTTACTATTTCTACTATTATCTAAGTTCACGTTTGAATTTTTACGATATCTTCTGAAAGAAGAAAGATATCGATTAAGTAGAACTTCGAAACGTAAGCTGACAAGAATGAAAAATATAGAACTACACAAAAAGAGGTATAAACGTGTGTAAAAATAAAGGATGAGAGACATGAAACGATAAACTGGTGGAAGTTTTTAAAAATAGCAGTACGTAAGGGTCAGGTTAAATGGAAGAATAAAAACCGAAGCTTTTCTTTTAAAACTCACCAGCGAAACACGCCAGATGACCCATTTTATGCTCCAGCCTGTCGTATTTCAGATCCGACACGTAGAGCAGCTTGCCAGGTGACGTCTTGATCATGTGTTGATCTATCGCCGCGATCGCTTCGTCGTACATTTGTCGGGCTTCGACGTCCTCCTTGCCGGACTGAATCCACGCTTTCAACAGATACTCGTAGAAGCTGTCGCCAAGACCTCCAAGCGACATGTGATCTGTGTTCGACAAGGAAGAAGCCTTTCGTCAATCCTTTTACTACTTTCGAACATTTCAACCCTTTGATTGCTGCTCGCTCGACAGTGAAACGCTCGCTGTGTACGAGTGAGTTGTAGTATTAATACAGTTATTATGTAGGAAACATGTTTACGAGTTATTACTACTATAATTCAAAAAATAAATTTTATGGGAAAAATAGAGAAATTAATTTAAAAGCAGTTTAAAATTTATATTTGATTAATATGTTGAATGCTGATCTGCTCTTTGATGTGAAATTGAGGAAGTTAGAATGGAGTCTATTTGTTAAAAAATTAAAATTGACATACTTTTGAGTTATGTCTTTATCAATGCCAAGTAGTGATATGGTAATATTTTATATTTGCAGAATAAATAATATGGGAATATAAAATATAAAGGCGCTGATAGTGCACAGTGAGCATTTTCGTCGAGAGCCTATAAACGTTGATAGCAGTCAAAGGGTTATGGTTATTTTTTCTTCTTTTGTTTTTTCTTATACGAAAATAATTTTCTTTATTATATTCGTAAGATGGTTCATGTAAACGTCGAATAAAATTTATTTCTCCTACTCAATGGAATTGGGCAAATCTGTCCTATTGATCGACCACCTTAATTAAGTCTAACATTCCTTCCAAGCTTATTACAGGTTCCGAAAGTTACAAGATAAAGAAGCTACTTCGAGAATCTCAACTCCATCCTAATAACAACAAGACATCTCCGCGTTTAGACAACCAGTTCCATAATTCCCAGCTTTTCAACGAGAACTTTCTATTGAACTAGAAACAAAGCTCGGAGAGACAAACTAACATAGAAAGCTTCGAAGCACTTTAAGCTAAGAGGACAGTTACTTTGAAGCAGCTTTTTCATCGTGTTTGCGATTCGATACTCTCTCTCTCTATATTCGTATGTTTGTTCGAAACGTACAGACGCAATTCACTATCTCCCTTTTCTCAGACACTATTGTGCTCTTTAAAACAGTTCGATTCGTGATATTAATAGCAATCGAACGTGTATAGATCATCCATCTTCGTGGAAATCGTTGAATTCTTACTCTTCTCAAAAAGTTCCAAGATGAATTAAGTAAATATAAATTATTCGCCATCGAAATAAATTTTATCACTTGGAATACACTTATGCTAATGGTTTTTCTTGGTAATAATACTGAGATTAGGATTTTAAGATACTATGTATAATCTCATGGCCTACAAGTGCTCTCTTCGGTACCAACAAAACTGTCACTCACTATCGACAGATATTAATCGATTTACCAGTCTGAAACGAACCGGAAACGGAGACAGACATCACATTAAATTACTGTTCTTTACCGTACAACCTTGTCCTCTAATAAACGAGAAACGTCTGTGTTCCTTTCCATCTAAATACGTCCACCAAAGAAGTACCATCAAACATAAACGAATCTTTCAATCTCCATATCTGATCTAGATCACCTGATTTTCACAACTTCTTCACACAGTCGCAACAACTTTTACAATTCTCAAATTTCTCCAACAAACGTCGAAAACCGACTTCGCAGCTGCTCTTGCTGCATTCAAACTTTAACTAAGAATACGAGAGCGACCTGGTAATTAGCTGTTCGAAGAAGCTTCCTTCTCTCTCTTCAAGTAGTCTCTCCACGCGAGACGCTCGAGATTCAATAGAACCATAAATTTAAAGGGACTCGAAGTTTGACGGTCGCCTGGACTGGACGAAAAGGGGCAAAAGAGAAAGCAACGCAAGAAAAAAGGCTAAAATATGAAGAAAAAGGAGCAGAAGAAGGGTTGAACGAAGGGAGAGAGAGAAGGATGGAAGGTGAGTTGCGGGACGATGATAAATATTCGTCGGGGATCGTCATATACGCGCAACGGGAAAATACAGGAGGAGAGCAGGAGAAGTCGGCGGAACAACGGGAGAAGAAGAGGATTTAGCACCCGAGGGGATTCATGGCATGATAAATGCGATATTCGGGGAGACGGTGCAAAGAGTTGTCGGCCGTGCAAGCAGCAAGCAGCCGGCCATCTCCTCTCTCTCGGAAGACGACGGAAGGTACAAAAGGAAGGTGAGGACGCGTGGCTCTGTGGAACGGGAGCAACACCGTTCCGTTCGTTCGCCTCTGTCGCCTCTGTCGAAACTATTCCCGACCGATATAATTGATAGCCGTCAGATTAAAAATCTATTTTGCCCGAAATTCTCCGGGTGCGGGAAGATTTATTAAATGAAATTACAGTAATAAAGCATCGGCCACATTTACATCTGACATCGATCTTTTTTTTCTCGCTGTCTATTTTTTTCGAACTTGTTCCTCTTCATCCTCTTCTTCGGCTTTTTATTTCACATTGAACGTCGATGTTACTCATTTGTAACGAGTATGTCAGATGTTATTTTAGAGTGTTTTTTTTTTTTTTTAAGTTTTTCTTTTGTTTGTTTGGGCGATTTATTTTGACACGGTCGCTCGCGGGATGAATGATTTTATTGGTCAAACAGACAGTGCTTTTTGTGCATAGATATGTGTGTCTTTGGTTTTGTTTGGATGTTAAGAGAATTACGGGTGGTTTTCTTTGAAAGACAGTTCTCTTATTAGGTGCGTGTGAAGTTTATGAGCGCAACGATCCGCGAGAGAGGAATAATTAGCCGGGTGTCTTTGCCGGTAAAAACTGATCGTTGCCGCTGGAATTAATGCGGACAATGATTTAAGCAGCCTGCGAATAGGTATTACTCGTGGATAGTGTTGGAACGTTTTGCAAGATTTATCGTTGTTATTACGGTGCTGAGATGTTGAGGTGGATCGTTTAACGAAACGTGGAAATGATAGTGTAATGCATCCGACAAAAGTTGGAGTCTGATTTTTTTCTGAGTGAAAGGATCTATGATGACGATAACAAAAGATTGTGGAATTAACCTAACTGACAGCGAGAAGAAGTAAGATCCATATGTATTTTGCTTCTTCAATGTTTCTCAAACAAAATATGAAAGATTGAGAACTATTCGAAAAAAATTGGAAACCTGTTTGAATTCATAAAATTAGAATTTCACTTTTTAAATTAAATTTTCTCTGTATTTTATTAGGTGTGATAGTAGAATCTGACGATTCTCAAAAAGCTACAGTGGAATGCTGAAAATAGTTATACAATGTAATTTATTAATTATTCAATTAAATTTCGAAAATAACATTTTTCAAGTCGCCTCTCTGACAGCGAATATATTTTACAATTAGGTCGGAAAATTCATTATTATTCAATTTGCATCAGCTGTTCTGTTTCACGATGACGAGAAGTTTATTGACATAGTAATTCATACTGTGATTACAATCACGTTATGTTCAAAGAATATTCTTTTCAATAAAAGTGTTCGTGACCGAATCACTTTTTTAACATTTCTCATTCATCTATTCTATCAATTTTTCTTCGCGTACTCAACTGAAACATGCTTTGAAAGGATTAATCTGAGTATCCCACAACAGCTCTTTAAAAATCGTCAAATCATTTATCTTTCAACCATAGAACACAGTTCATTCAAGTGTCATAGCATAAAACTTGCAAGAAGAACTTACGCTGTCCCCATTTTCCAGTCTTCGGGTTGATGTAGTTCGGATACAGGCCTTTCGGTTTCTCCAGGCTCTTCAGCACTTTCCTCACGTTCTCGACCTTGCCCTTGAAAACCGGATTGCCGGTGATGTCACTGAGGTAGGTGAATTCGAGATGCATCGTGCCAATTTCGGAAAGGATGCTGCACCCGCTGCTCGCCCAGCCATAATTCTTGCTCGCCTGAAAACGTGTCCGAATCCGGATACACACATGCGTCGATTAGTCGCGACGAATACAGAAGAAAAGGGTATAGATTTTCCGCGTACAACGAAAGTCGGCCACGATTCAGTTCAAACGGATTCAATTAAACAAAATAGCAAAGACAGGTGAACCGGTATTTATAGAAGACGATCCATTGGAACGACGAACGCGACACGGTCCTCTTTGCCCGCAAGATAAATATTAAGCTCTGTCGTGGAAATTACCGGTTACGCGGGTGATAATGAAAACGTTCTCAGTCTCGAGAGCGCGGAATTTAATAGAATTTTCACCGGATGGCTCGCGGGCAAATTGAAAGGAGACTATTCTTGATTACCTCTAGCGGGAAAACTGATAATTGCAGAACTGTTTTTCCTATCGGCGAACTTCCATGTGATTAAACGACGATGAGAATTTCGTGGATCTCAGGGATTCTTGATCGATGGAAAATCGATCGTAACAAGTTACTGCAGTCGTTGTAAATTGAAATATACTTTAGGCATAGAACGTGTTGAATTCGAACTTTTCATAAGAAACAAAACAGAGTTTCTATTCAAGGCGACGACGTTTTCCACACCGAACTCGTGACCTATAGTTTTCACGGTATTACAGCGCTCTATAGTAGGATGGAAACAAAAAAAGTTGGAACGAGTATTCGTGCGATTCAGCTTGGAAAAATTGCATCGAAAGGGAGATAAAAATCAGAAAATAGAGGGAGAGACTGATGAAAATAGAATAGTAGAGCGGCAGGTAGAACGAACAATTTTTTTTGTCTCAAGTGGGAATTGTAAAATTTTGCAAAAGAAAACGTACAATAAAAATCAAAGTTTCGAGAAAGGTAAGAGAGATAGGAAAATATAAAATAAACGTAGGATAAAGGAGGAAATTAACGAGAGAGTTGAAAGATTGCTAGAGAAAGACGCAAAGGTTTGAAGGGAGAGACGAACGGAAGAAGGAAAACAGGGAGAAGGAAATACAAAATGGACAAAGTGATGAAACATCGGCTTTCGCGGCCTCGTTATTCGTCCAATTAAGAATTTGCATATTAATCGCGGAACGTCGTTTTAGCGAACGTGGCTTGATGGAATCGTTTCAATTAAGCCGTGTTTCTAATGCACGTGTAAAAACCACCGGGATTATCGTCTTCACTCGAGATTTTTCTGATTCTTTTTCGCTGTCGCAGGCAAATGCATTATCAGTCGAGAAAAAAGGACGTATTTACTATAATATAAAAAGCGTCGCGTCTTCCTTTCGCGTTTTTCTTTGACGAAGTTTCCTAAATGCACAAACTCATGGTCATATTAATTTTTATTGTCGAAAAGTATGAGTTGATTGGCTGCTTTTGAGTTCATCGTCCTCAACAGGCAATTCGCCAAGTTTGAACTTATAATTTCCAACATCCTATTACCATTCTCCCACTTTTCCACATTCAATTGCCAATTCTTACTTGCCAACTCCTGAAAATCACAATTTCCAAGTTGCAACCGGTAATCCTCAAGTGCAACCTCTCACTTACCAATTCCCCAATTTCCAACTCGCAACTTATATACCATCTAACGTCTCTAAACCTAAGTTCAGATCCGCGGGGTTGGAAATTTCCACGAAACCCTTAATCTCGTTTCGTCTCGCGTTAAATCATGCAGAGGCCAAACAGCAGCGCACTAAACGGGAATCACTTTGAAAGTGTGTTTCCCCGTTGGAGCTCGGTCTGCGGAGGGTAAGGTAAGGTAGCTAGCTAGTTGGCCAAGAAATTTGTTCCGTGGAAACGCAATTCACTAGCAATCGGCACCGTTAATCCATACACACACACATACACCGTCACATCCATAGCTAGCCGGTGAATATTTAAGCCGCGTAAATTTTGTGCCCGCGGTTACGTCAGAAATAATTAACATTAAAACATGCTGGTGTCGGCGTTGGCGGTCGATGCGCGTAGCCACGAAATCCCCAGACTTACCCCGGTATGGAGATTGATGAGGGAATGAGAAATTCCGGTTTCCGTCTGGAAAGCGGGCAACATCCGTTCGCCAAGCTGAGCCGCCTTATCCCGGAACATCACGTCCCCGGTGAGGGCGTAACAGGCCAGCAGGCTTCCCATGAAACGAATGTTCGTCTCGAAGAGGGATATCTCGGAGTTCTATAAAAAAAAAAAAGAGAAAAACAGTGAAACGCTTTCGTTATGCACGTCCATCTTCGTTTTACTAGGGGGATGAGAGAGGGATAATTCGACTGGCTGAGTGCCAGTCGAGAAGACGCCGTTTCAATTTGCCTGAATCGTCTCTTTGACTACGATTTGGAAGACGGCTTTTCGGAGAGGATTATGGTGCTTCGAGTGTTTTATTCGAAGAGATTATAATTATCTGTGTAATTATCGTTTCTAAGGTTGTATCTGTGATTAGTTTTCCATTTTGATTTCTAGGTGTTAAGTAGGGAAGATGGGTTGAGTCTGTTGTTCGAGTGATGAATTTTTAGAATCTCCGTTTTTTATCGTTTCCTTATTAATCTGTTATTGGCACCTATGGGCGCTTTGAAAACTTATTCGTATTGTGCTTATTGGAGCCTTTTGGCGCACTTCCATATTAATTTAAGCTTTAATTTTATCCTCTGCACTCTCCCACTTATTTTTCCCATGTTTACTTTTGTGGTGTATATTAATGCGATATTTCACGATTTTTTAAATTGTCTCATGCATTTCAAATGTTTATTCTGATACATAAAAGAAGACTCACAGTTTCCTAGTAATAATAACAATGCTTTTCAAGTTAGAACAGTCAACAAACTTAATGAAATATTGCTTAAAGCATTAGAAAAGGAAGGGAGAGCCGAGGTGGCTCGCACACCTGAGTCCTGGTGTTCAGGACCGGTTTCATACATGATACAGTATGGATTTGTGGAGTCAGTTTACTTTTTTGTGCTCCGTATATTTTTACCCTGTTTGTTCTACTAACTCACGTTGCTTACATTTCACACTTGTATTCGGCCATTCCTTATGAATGGGGACGCTTACAACCTGGGACATATGACTTTATCGCTCAGCTTTCTAGTACTAAAGCACCTGTATTTCTCGCGATTAAAGGATCTTACGTCCAACTGATTTAATCTTCACTTAAAAGTGCTTAAACAAACACATCGCTACAAATAAATATTTCTCTCTCTCTGCAATGTTTAACCCAACGTTTATAAAAATGAAATAGAATTCCAAATAAATGCCTCAATATTCATCCCTGAAGAGTATAGATAGAAATGTCTTCTATTCAAAGAACACTTCGACGAATCACACTCTAAGAATTCCCAGTCATTTCATTCACATGTTGAGTGGTGCGTTCGTATTTGAAATATGTATGCATAAAAATTTCGTTCTTCGTCTTGAGAAGCTAGAAAAAAAAAAGATTTCTGAAGACTCTGTGAACGCCTTAGTATTCATTGGAATTATTCTACCGTAATTTGTTGCCGGTTAAAACAGACGTAGCTAACTGCAGTAGCCGCCCTCGTGGTCAGGTATTTCCAGCCGGTAAAAATTTACGAAGCTTATCGCGGGTCTGATGAGAAATCGTGCGAAGTGCATTACGTACGTGAGGTCTCGTCGAACCTCCGTCGCATTATGCTACACCTCTGTGGCAACGCAACGTCGTTAATAGCGTACTTAACGCTGAAGTATTAGGTTTAATTACAGCGAATACTCGATAATTTGTCTTCGCCCGGCTGCCACTCGCCCGGCAATTGCGCGCCTTGCAATTACTTTTCCAGCCACTCTTTCGTTAAGTACCATCTTTTCTCTCTCATCCTTTTTTTCTCTCTCTTTCTCTTCGACCATCCTCCTCGGCGTAAATAATCTTCACGCGTGAAAGTGGCCTCCTCTCTCGTCAAGGGGTGAATTCGCCTCCGCCACGTCGAACATTTCTCAAACAATCGTTTGTCAGGGAAAATATCGAGTAGGGAAGAAACGATAGTGAATTGTATACGTTTGAACGCGAAGTTTTATCGTAGGAAAAGAGAGAGAGAGAAAGGCGTAATAGGTTCTTTTTTAGATGAAATATGTAAGAGGAAAAAAATAAATGAGATAATTTCAACTAGTTACACAACGAGGTATTTAAGGTTCTGGTTGAAAGTTAATGAAGAAACTACTGTGCAACCATGAAGTTACGAATGGGTTAGAATGCACACTTTTTCTGCGACTCATTTGCTCATTACGCTAAACACGTCTGCAACGCACGGTGGAGAAAATAGTGGTTTAGAAGAACGTTTCAATTTCAAGTGCAACGAAGTACTTATTTTAGGAGTAACTTTTAATTAACAGTAATTGGGATACTTGTAGCGAATTGTGAGAAGAATCTTCAGTGTTGGAATGAAACATTTTTTGATTGCTGCAAGTTTTGTTAATTTCTAGATTTGATACGTTTTTTTTTATAAAATAATTTTCGATTTTAGAATTTTATTAGAATGCTAAGCATTTGGCTGTTCTGTGCATTTTTGGGACAGCATAGTAATTTTTTAAAGATAAAATTTCATTTATAATTGAATTATGTACGAATTTCTATTCTATTTTTTGAATAGAAGAATTTTCTTCTCCTGAAAGCTCAGAATTTCTCATAAAATCACATTTTATACCGCCAATTAAACAGCCGCTAAATTTTTCCACAAACGTAACCGTAGCATGAAACGCTTTATCGTTGTGTACAAATGTACGAGTCGACAATTTCACAATAGTTATAGCCAGGTTTGCCGTCCAATGTCTATACTTCGATCTAGTAAGCAAGTTTATGCATGTGTTTGCTGGATGCATCATTTTGCCGCAGAAACGCAATTCCGACGTTCTCGAGAATAACGTTGGTTCGTGGAGGATACGATAAACTCGCGAGATTTAAAGTTTCCCAGTAACTTGTGTATCCGGCTTTGTGAACGCGCGCGTCTGCGAGACGGTGGAAATTCAGCGATTAAGTTTCCAGTTAGTGTTTAATGAGCCAAGATTATTATTAGTTTAGCGCGAGTTATGAAGTTATACTCAGCAATCAGCTGTCTGCAACTCGTCTGCTTTATGCTCCTCTTATACTCTTCTTTTTGCTTCTATATATACTGGGGAGTTGGTTGTCCGCGATTCTGCAAATTATTGCACGTCTCTGGTCTCTTCTCTCCTTCTTCATCTTCGAGATTAGAATGCTTTTGGTAGAATAATTTTCGAGTTTAGAATTTTATTAAAATTCTGAGTACTGAGGTGTTCTATGAATTTTTAGAAAAGCGTAGGTGCAAGCATAGTAAGATATTAACGATAATAACGAAGTTAGGTATGCGTTTCCATTGTATTCTTAGAATCAAAGAGATTTCTCCTCGTTTTTCCCCAAGGATTAAACGAAGTTGGTTCACACAGACGCTTCCTCGGCTTCTTGTTGGTTTCCTTGATAGACAAACGACATGTCTTCGCGCGAATACGCTCTCATCCCTGCCAGAGGCTGCAATCAGCGCGGCATAGGTGTTAATTAGCATGAACATGAAGATAGCATCGGAAACAGATGAGGGCATAATAATGTGTCGCGCTTACAACAGGTAGGCGTGTCGTGGTCTTCTTTTTTTTTCAACAGAAAGAAATACGACTAATTGACGTTTATGACTTAACATCCTGATAAAATCTGTAGAAGCTTCTTCGTTCATTTCAAAAGTGAATCAAATAAACTAATTAACAAAGTACCAACAGCAAATAAAAATTACATCTAATTACTCCTATTGTACCTTTCTTCATGAAAAACTAATTTTAATTACACACACATTCAGTACTAAAATAAATTCACAAACATCCCCTTGATTAGTCTAACCAAAAATTTCCAAAGAATTCCACGTGATACATGAAAATTCCTAAAAAAATCGAAAGAAAAATACGAAAAAATTCTTTTCATCCACGTTTAGGTGAGAAAAGAATGGACCCGCGTTTGCACGCATGAGAGTCACTGGGTTTCACCGCGTATCGGCGCATTTCCAGGCGTCTGAAGTGGCGTGATGCAACGAAATGTGCGTACGGTGGTCATAAATAGCACGGCTGCAATTTGCCGCATCTCGGCGCGGCCGTGCATCCGACAAGAAAATTGCAAAATACGACCGGCTCCACCTGTCGTAATCGCGGCAGTTTATCCTAATACGCGAGATGCTGTAGACAGAGGTGTGGTATCAACGAGAAAGACGTAATCGGTTTCGTAACAGGTACACAAGCTCCGACAATGATTCTGGTAATCGGAACATTCAATTCCGTGATATACGCGCCTTCGAACAAATTGACGCGCCACGGCCGTAATCATCTTCTTCTCCTTACGTTGCCACGGCGAAGAGCTGTCTTCCCTCTATTTTATTTCGTATAACAAGATCCCGGTACGCTTGTAGGATTTATGCTTTTTAGGGATGCGCAAAGAGCTATCGGAATCTTTTCGTCTGAAGATGTAATTTACTGCTAGCATTTTTTTGAGTAGCAAGAAAGTGCTTGTAATATTTTTTAAATTTAGTAAACAGAAGAAAATTTTATCACTGAGATCTATAATTTGCAGTTGAACTCGAAGAAAATTTTACGTAAATTTTTGTGAATTTTGTGGAATGGAAAATAAGAAAAAAGTGTTTCTTCGTTGACAGTTGCTTTGTACGCAAATTAATAGAAAGAATTTTCGTGTTCGAAGATATCTTCTATTTGGGATTAATTCGCTGTAGATCACGAAATGGAATATGCATTAAAATGACATATTTTCTGTAAAATTTCACGTAGTGTTCGATGAAGTTACTGTTCCTTTTTTATTTATTTCGATGAATAATAAGAATCGTTCGAGGCACAGTTTCTCGTGACGCTCGGTAGTAAAATAAATAATGGAATTATGATACAATTTTCTGTCTCGTTTCTGGTTAAATACGTTTATTGAAGCTGAAGCTTGGGTAAATAAGTAAACCTCCAAGGGTAGATTTTACAAGTATAATGCCTTGAAAACGAGCTAGTGCGGCGTTGTCTCGTGAATATGCCGCACGCGAAAATTCACGGTTGCGCTGAACTGCCGAGAGAGAAAGAAACTGAGTGAACTCAATTTCGTTCTCTAATTTCTCTAATGCCAGAAATTGAATTTAAATAATCGAGAATTTGCACGGTGTGTATTGAAAACCAGGCCACAACAG